ACAGGGGAGACCAGCCGCCCCCCCCGCCTCTGTACAACCTCCCTTCGGGTAGTTGTAGAGAGCAATGAGGTCTCCCCTCAGCCTCCTCTTCTCCAGGCTAAACAGCCCCAGATCCCTCAGCCTTTCCTCATACGACTTGTGTTCTAAACCCTTCACCAGCTTTGTTGCCCGACTCTGTACCCTCTCCAGCACCTCAGTGTCCCTCTTGTAGTGAGGGGCCCAAAACTGGACACAGCACTCGAGGTGGGGCCTCACCAAAGCCAAATACAGGGGCACGATCACCTCCCTGCTCCTGCTGACAGCACCATTCCTGACACAGGCCAGGATGCCATTGGTCTTCTTGGCCACCTGGGCACACTGCTGGCTCAAGCTCAGCTGGCCATCAATTGATAATCTTGAAAATCTTAAAGTTCTCTTCCAACCAAGGAGACTCCATGATTCTGTGATCATCTCACTAGTGTTGATATATTGAAAGACAGAGATATTCTGATGTCTGTTTCCCATGTGGTGACAAAAGCAATGACACCCTTGGTTCAACTCATGTAGCCTACACTGCTTCGTAACCTACCTCCCACTACCCCTCATCTCTCAAAACTTCCTTGATCATGTCTAAACAGAAAGAGCTTTTAGATGCAGGTACTGTTCCACACTACCTCACTTTAAGTTTCCCCTCAAGGTCCACTTAAAAGAAATCTACAGTTCTTCTGTATGTGAGAAAGCTCAGCTGTCTCAGTGAAAGTACAGATTATTCCACTATAATGACCATGGGGTTTTTTTCAGTCCTTTACATATATCAAATATCAGCACTTCCATGAAAAACAGAAATGTGCATTTGTTAGGGGAATAGGAAACAGATATAGTACTTAGCCATAACTGGGACAGGAAGAAAGTGCTGAATTAGAGATTAAGACTGATCACACGAACAGTGCAGTCTCAAAACTCGGTAATATTTTAAGTAAAAGCCGTAAGCCAGACAGTAGTTTTTTAATATAGGAAGCATTTTTCAGATTAAAGTTAGAAGAAAGAAATCTCTGAGAAAGAAGTCTCCAGATTCTACGACAATAATTTTTCTTTGTACACTTCCCACTTGAAAACCGAATGGGATCCTGAGACAAAACTAGTCTCCGACTAATTAAACAGCTGTTTCACTGCCAAACCCAGCGCAGGGGACATGCTAAAACAGCTGATTTGACCAACTGGTTTCAAACACTTCTAGAGTATCTTTCATGGCCAAAAGAATTCTGCTGTGAAGTTCTGTTTGGCGACCACAATAATTCTGCCACCAATATTTCCTTCCTGCTACTCCTGTTCAACTTAAGATTGCAGAGAAACTATATTAGAATCCAGAGCAGAAATAAACAAAGGAAAATAAACAATGTATTTCAAAACAGATATACACTGGAGGCTATCCATCCTCTCTCTGTACCATTCATCTGGAATAAATGAGAAATTATCTTTAAACGCCCAAGACGCACTAACAGCAAGAGCTTCAAGTAGTCACTGGTGGCAACCATACACGAAGACAGTATTTCCTTCTCATTAGACAACAGTCACCCCTTGACTACCTCAGACCAATTGAGATCTCAGGATGAGTGTCAGTCTTTCCTGATAAACATGGAAAACTCTATATGATTATGTGATAAAAAGGATCAAAACTGCTGAACATCACAGTACTTCTGCTGAACAGGCTTAAGCAACAGCTGATGGAACTAGTGATAAAACGTGTTGGTGTAGCATGACAGACAGCTCAAGGCATAAATCTGGTGCTGACAAAGTTTTTCATTTTCCCGGGATTTCAAGAAATAGCAATTTTTTTTTCCTCATTGAATTCTGGTACAGAGACCGGTTAGATGGGTTCTAATCAATTTATGCTGATATCATGGGAACACTAAAACAATATCCAAAGAGAAAACAAATTCAAATTCACTTCACTGAACGCAGTGAATAAGTATGTCTGGAAAATGAGCCCAATCCAGAACAGAGAAGATAAAGACACAAAAAAACTCACAAAACACCTCCCTCTGTCATGTTTTCATTTAAGATGAAGTTAGGGAAGACATCTCAAGATCTTTTAATATGGAAATATCTAAGAAAACTCATTTCTTTTTTGTGCTTAGCAGTAAAGATACAAAAGAAAGCATGGGTAAAACTGTTAGAAATATCCTTGTTAAGTAGGTTTCACGGGGCAAAAATAAAGTGCAGATCTGGTAATATATGGTACAGACACAAAAGCACATGCTTTCAGTAACAGGCTTTCAGCCAGATGGAAATTATGACAGAGTTTATCATTTATATTATTACAGTGCCTAGAAACCATATGCATTGGCCCAGAATGCTTCTCTGTGGAGCATCCTATTCAGAATACAAAAGCCTGGTACTAAACACAAGCCTGCAGCACAATGCATTTTAGGATGAGCACAAATAAAATAAATCAATACACAAGAATAATATTTTACTCGGCTGAATAAGAATACAGTAACTTTGGTGTTACACCAAAAACTCTCTTATTCACAGAGCTAACTCCTCTAACTGAATAAAAATCTTGGTTTTTATACTGGCAGTCACAGAAACAAGAGAAATGCAACGGAAGGTAGGTTTATGAATTTATCTTCAAAACCTGTAAAATGAAAATTTACTGAGAATTTCTCCTTAATACTACATTCATACGCTCCACAGTATGCCTGAAATTCTTTAAACATATTTGCTTACCTTTGTTACAGCTTTTGAAGAAAAGGTAATTTCATCAATAAAAGTGACAATGTCTTCTGGATCAAGTCTATCGAAGTACTTCGAACATATATCATATGCATGTAGCCACTCATCCAGGGTTTCTGGTATTTTTTTAATAAGATGGTGATCGCCACTACAAAAAAGTTTTTGTAGCCAGACAACATAGACAGAGCTGGGTGATAGCATGCCGCCATCTTTTTTGGGAATTTTGGGAGCCAGTTTGGAAATAGATAAAATATTTTGACTCGTAAGGACAGGCTCCAGTGTTTCCAGAGGGTTTTCATTTTCATCTATTAGCTTTTTGTAGTTAAGACCTATTGACAGAAGGAGAAAGAGTGAAACAGAAGTTAAACGTAATTAAATCTACTCAAACTCTATGTGTAAAACAATCAGCATTAAAGCAGCATCTGCAGATCTAGAAAGACTCTGCTCCATCTCCTTTCACAGCCATACACTGATAGACTGGGAAGGTATTTATGATGTCCTGCTGCATGTGAAATCCTTGGAAGGTATTTTACCATTACATATCGATACAAACTAAAAAAAAAACAGATTCTCAAAGAAACAAGAAAATATATATATATACTGCATAGAATCGTGCTACTATTTTTTTAATATAAAGCCCAGAAAACCATATGCACCTGAGGATGTAAGTCCTCATTAACTAAGAAGATGTAATCTGATCATATAAGAATTGTTACTTACTACTTATCTCAGCAAAAATGCAAGGCACTAACCACAAGTAAACTAAGCAAGGTCAGCTAGGGAACAGGACATGTAGGCCCATTTACATGAATATCTATATAATACATCAGCCTTGTCATTATTTTGGCTCTTCCAAGAAGAAAACTCCTGCAAATTATTCTAGCAACAACAAATTATTTCTAGCAGCAGTACTATTTTATTCTCTACGCATGTAACTCTTATGACAACTGACTTGTATGGCCATGTTTAGACACATCAATAAGAATTGAAGATAACCTCTCCTTCCCTAAACCACTGTTGTCTATTTTTCGTCCTGCAATACATGAACTCATATGCATAAACTCTCCAAATTCTGCAGCAAATTAAGTGTCTGATACACATGAGGTTCCAGTATTGAACAATTAATTCATCTCCACAGCAAGTAATCCCATACAGTACATAATTTTCATTCTGAAACTGGTTTTGGAGTTATTCAACTGAAATTCAAGGTACTGCCAATACTCAACTAAAGCAAACTGAAACTAGTGTTCAAAATTTCAGAGTGGTTTCCAGCTGCTCGCTTTTACAGGCATTGTATGATGACAGTAGGACAAATAATGTAGTTCTGCAAAAGCAAAAGGTAACATCAAGGATAAACAACAAAATAGCCCTCTTTAAAACACACAAATAAAATGCATAAAGTTCCTTATATATAATGTAATTCAGACTTTTGAAAGGTAAGTTGTCTTAAGTTGTTTGAGGAAATTGCTGTTAAACTTGCAGTGTTAAAAATTGTGCTCTACGAAGTCTATGAATTCAATATGAACCACTGCCAATAATTTTAACTCGCGTTGCCAACAGAAACCTGGTTTTAAATATTTTTTTGTTTGCTTTGATAAAGCAAGCTAAATTTCCAGTAATATGAAGAGAAGAAATTTACTCCTGTAAGATATCACTAACCTACTAAATTACTTTCGTTCATTTGATATGCTCATTGAAAAATAAAATTAATTGGAGAGTATTAACCAGATATGCATAATCACGTCAACACTCACATAACAGAATAATAAATACAGCTATGAAGAAAAGAAACATTTATTTTCCTACCTGGTGCAACTGCTTTGAATTTTTTCAGGAGTCGGATGTGAGTTTCAGGTTTAACAGCATGCTTCACCGCTTCCGAGCAACCACAGTTCTCAAGAAGAGTGAAGTAATAAAGCAACCGCTGGTGATCTCTGCCTTCAATACTTGGGTAAACATATTTAACCATGTGTTCAAGTAAGGTTTCAGGATTGGTTTTCAAAGTCTCAAACAGACCAAGGCTTTGTGCTCTTTCTTCTATTTCCTGTGTCAATAACCTGCATTTAGAAATTATTTTAGCTTTAAAGACCTGGCTGTTCCATGAAAGACTCTTCAGCTGCACACTTGGGAAACAGGATAATACTTTCCTTCATTTACGGTTCAACTTTTTAAGACGTTTTGAAAGAGTAAATAGTTATTCCTAAATTTTTAGATAGCTCTTTTCTTCATAAACAAAAGCTAATAAGCTCTCATATTTCCTGATCTTGCTGTCTTGGACATGTGGATTAAGGGTTGTGAACACTGAAGCATGATTCAAAACAGCCTTTCACATCTTTAAGTACAGCCATAAGTAAAAGTAGACATATGTCTGAGTATGTGCACAGGAAGCCTTTTAAAAAAAAAAAAAATATTGAAAAATGCCCCAAACTAACATGAAACCAAACAAACCCAAACCAAACAAACATGAAAACAACCCAAACCAGAAAACAAAACAAATCTCACAGCTGAGTGATGCTAGAAAATCCTTTTGCCCAAGTAGAAATTCTCCCAATCTACAACATTCTATTTTCTGTAGTCAGTGGGCACCTGTGCATGCTGAGAGATATTATCACCACTGAAAATTGGCTCTTGCCCACTGGTTAATCTATTTGACACTATTACTCATGCTTTGCATATTTTATTTGACAGTTTTATCAAATTGCTTCTCAAATTGTCATCCATGAAAGCTTACGAAAATACCATCAAATCTTGGGTTGACCTCAGCCAGTCTCACTGCTTCAGGACATTTTTTTTCCAGACCTTTTTGCAAAAAGAATACATTAGCTCTTTGACAACATGAATTCAGGCACCTCCAGCTGGCACATAAACGATAGCTGAATGCAATCACCCCTTTCTTCCTCAGCTGGGAGAAAAATGGATGTCTACCAAGGCTCAGGTCTCATGCTAAGTTTATACTTTTCTCAATTGAAAGTTTTACCTAAAATCTAAGGAAAGAAGGAACCTACAGATGACTACCACCTTGACTCTCTCCAGAGTCCAATCATAAGCCACATTACGTAGTGCATTTCATTTTGAAATTTGATGTCTTCTAATTCCATTTGATTTTCTTCTACCTTTAACACTGATTAAATAAGAATTTCAACATCAACTTGTCCCAAGTAAAAATACCGCATGTAAAGTTAGTGTTTCTCTTCAATATGCATGTAAAATATGTCTCCTTTTCATCCCTAAAGATGATTTTCTTACAGCGAATACCACAAACACCACCTTTTCTCAGTTTAAAAATTATACTTCCTCAGAAATCAAAGATTAAGGTATTTTTGAGTTATTTTTACATCTAGAACTACCCCAGTTAGGTTGTTAACTTGTAAGCATTATTTTAATTCTCTAAATTGTTGTCGTTTGCTAAGTGTTCTACCATATTAATTGAAATAAAGCATCATTCACTCAATATCAAGCAAAACAGACACTCGGACCTGATGCACTTCAGGAGTGTGATTTGAATATATTTTTCTGTCCACAACCAAATTTCAAACTAAAGGCTAGATAGACAGTGAAATTATAATCAATAGCATCTACAAGGCTTTGCCATGTGTTATTTGGGGAAAGGCTGGTCATGGATAGGGAGGGTTCACCATGCTCTTCAGAAAGATTCTGGAATAATAAGATTTTGTGACAGGCAAACATAAAATTTTCTGTTTCTGAAATCACAAAATACATCTTATAGATTTTTTCAGTGACAGAACGCGCTCAGATCCATCAAAAGACACAATCGCTTTTCCAGCAAATTTAAAAAATGTAATACCAAACAATTTTCATCAGACTCAAATTCACAGCATAATAGAAAAACATGTGTGATGTTTATTTGTCATCAAGTAATCAAAGAAATAGCTAATGCAAACTATCTAAGTGCTTCTTTTGAGCTCCTCCCGACATAAAGTAGCTTATAGAAATACTGCATATTTGGTTAAAGAGATTAAGTCTTAGAATCAACTTCAGTTCAGAATGAATGCATAACGAGGCATGCATTATTAATACCATAATCCCAAGACTAAAATACACTGTAATGGCCATATGCTGTCAATCAACTTTAAAATGAGATTATGATACAACAAAAACATGCTCAGCAGCATATTATGCTATTATACATCAATTTTCAAGACTTCTTTGAATTTCATTAGGGAAAAGGTTGTTACTTTGTACTTCAGTGATTTCAGAATTCTATGAATATTAAACTCATGGAGGACAAGAACAAAGAAGATTATAAAAAACTGTTGCAAAATACCCCAGGTAATATTCTAGTCTCAGAGAAGTCAGCTGGCTCTTTCACATTCACCCTAGTGTTGCATGTTTATATCATGACTGTCTATTTTGTTTAAAGCACTAAATAATTTTCTTGAGGAGGCAAAGAAAAACCTCAGTACGTTATTTCATCTTCTCAGATCTTGCACCAATGTCTACTAGGCTTCGCTTTTTAGGCCTCATGTTTTATAAAATATTTTAATGCTTTTTAATTAATAGTTAATGTTAGGAGGGCTACAAATACCGCTGCAAGCTAAAGCTGCCTGCAAAATTTAAAATTTGAAACAAACTAGACTAATTTGATCATGTCTGTCAGAACACTAGAGAAGAGCTCCTGTGTTACACAAGGGGCTCTACATCATCGTCATCTGAATGTCCTACTCAGTCAAGTAGCTTAGTCCTTCATCCAATGAGTTGATTCATTTTTCAGTGGGCGAAAAGTACTTGTTGGATTGACAAGATGTTCAAGTTCAAAAACAAAACAAAACAAGGCCCTGGAACTACGTCTGGAAAAGAAATGAAGAGCATCCATTCCCCTCGTGCCCCCCACCAATGCCAGGTCTGCTCTGCCGCAATCTAGAAGGCTAGAAAGAAATATTGTTTAAAAAGTGCTTCTTTAAAAAAACTGTAACTGAGATGAATAGAAGAATAATATGAATGGGAAGCTCTAATATATTTATTTCTTTTGCTATTACGTAAAAGAGAGATGAATAAGTAGCAGAACTTTTTTTTAAAAAAAAGGAATAATTATATAAAAACTATCAAGCTTCAGGATATGTATCAAGGAACTGTAAAAATAAAGCCATGGAAAGTAAAGAACAGGAACTCAAGTCCTGGGACATACAGACTTTCATCCTTGCTTGTAACACCTATTTTTGTGGCTGGTTACAGAAGCATCACATTGAAAAGACAAAAATTCCCAAGCTATCATAACATAAGAAATACAAGAACACAAATCACCCTCTACTCTGAATAGACTTCGGTTTTCTCACAGGTTAAGACGTGTTGCTGTGTAACGCAATTTTATGTGTATTTGCAGGGGAGACAACTTACCCACTGTCGGTGAACAAAAATTCCAGATGGGTCATGTAAACTTCCCAAAGTGGAACACTGTATCGCTGAGCCAAAGAGACAGCAATCTTGTAGACATTTTCTTCAAGTGTTCTTATAAGAGAAGAGACATGAAAGAAGACAAGGAAAAATTACACTAAGCCTTAGAGACATGACATGAAAACAAATACTTTCATTAGAAAACTAATTATTTCTTTTTAATATTTTGTTTCATAAACCAAGAAAACAGAATCACTGTTAATTAAAAATAGATAACATTTGTCTTCTTGGATTTGCTTTAACTTTGTGCTTTATTTGAGAAAAAGAAAAAATAATATAAGACTACAGAGGTATTTGGAAGACAGGCACCTACTCCACACACACTTTGCTTCTCAATGAAAGTTCCTGCCTAATCTTTGCACTAAAGCAAAAACCTCAGTTTTCACTCCATTTCAATTACAAAATGGTAAGGCCCAAATCAGGAGAGAAGTGTCATAGTTAACATTTATTTGATTTAGTTGCAGAACCTACAGTGATTTGGCATGACTGGTATGTAGGTCCTCAAAGCTCTTCCCAGATTTCACAGACAGAAACACTCCGCATTTGCAAATTAAAAGATATAAAGATGTCCAGTTCCACTATGTAAACACCCTAGAAATAGTGAAAACTTTTTTTCCTGTTACTGTATATCCCTTTAACAAATCAAGAGGTGAAGACTCTGTTAAGTGATCAAAGCCTGAAGTTAACTTCATATCTATTTTTACTAGTCCACTGAAGCTAGTATGGTTCAAATGGACACATATGGTTCTTGCTTTTAGGCTGGTATAGAATCACAGAATCAAAGAAACATCAAGGTTGGAAAGGACCTTAAGATTATCAAGTCCAGCCCACAGCCCTACACCACCCTAACACTAAACTCCTGAAGTGTCACATCCAGCCGTTTTTTAAACATGTCCAGGGATGGTGACTCCATCATCTCCCTTTGCAACCCATTCCAGTGCTTCATCACCCTTTCAGTGAAGTTTTTCCTAATATCCAATCTAAACTTCCCCTGGTGCAGCTTGAACCCATTCCCTCTTGTCCTATCACTATTTACTAGGGAGAAGAGGCCAACACCCGTCTCACTAGAGCTGCCTTTCAGAGAGTTGTGGAGAGCAACAAGGTCTCCCCTCAGCCTCCTCTTCTCCAGGCTGAACAGCCCCCGCTCCCTAAGCCTCTCTTCGTAAGACTCACCCTCTAGTCCCCTCATCATTCTGGTTGCCCTTCTCTGCACCTTCTCCAGCACCTCAATGTCCTTCCTG